CGTCAATACCCCTGCAAAGGTATAACCCCTCTTCTGACCGCGTCAATACCCCTGCAAAGGTATAACCCCTCTTCTGACCTCTGTCGCCGTGGACTGGTTTTGCCTGTTTCTCGCCATCCTGTGAGTGGAGTAGTGCAGTACCTCCTCGCCGGGTCTGGCTTCTGTTGCTCGCACGGTGTCTGAGAGTCCGCCAGCACACGTACATGTTTTCAGTAGAATCTTACTAACGCCTTGGCCTGCATCTTGTTTTTTGACCAAGAAAGTGTGAACACCCTTTCAGGTCAGCACTTACAGGTCTTCCTCGTTCTTTTAATGGCTGATATCATCCCATAATATTATATATTTTCCATAATTTATTTAGCCTTATCTCTACTGGTGGGTATTTAAGTGGTTTCCAATATTTTGCTATTACTCCTCTAGTTTACTAAACACAAAATTGCTGAGTTGGAGGGTCTGTGTTTTTAATGTTAATTGATAATACCAAATTACCATACTCATTATACTTATTTTTTCAATTAATAAATTTGTTTTCTTAATAAATAATACGAACAGTTAAAGTATATGTGTGTATACAGATGTATTTTTAAAATAAACATGTTAAACATATATACAGAAAGTATACAAAAGTGCACAGGTCTGTAAATTTCCATAAAGTAAATGCACCCACATAATCATATCCAGATCAAGAAATAAATATTACCAGGACCCCAAAGTAGCCTTATGCCCCCTTATTAGCTACTAATCTCTCCTTGTAAAGGTGATCGCTATTTTCATTTCCAACACCATAGATTCATTCTGCCTGCTTTTGAACATTATAGTGTAAGTATTTTTTATTTTAACAGCTGTCCCTTCATAGAAATTATCTCAGTTTACACTTCTTCTACCAAACCAACCCAGTGCCACTGAGTTGATTTCCGACTCATAGCGACCCTATAGGACAGAGTAGAACTGCCCCATAGGGTTTCCAGGGAACAGCTGGTGGATTTGAACTGCTGACCGTTTGGTTAGCAGCCAAGCTGTTAACCACTGCGCCACCTGGGTTCCTCTTCCACCTGCACTATATGAGAATATGTATTTCCTAATACCTTCCCCAGCCCGGTGAGTGATTAAACTTACTGAAATTCTGCCAGTTAGATAGGTGACAAATTGTCCCGTTTTTACTTTGCATTTTCTTACAGTGAGTGAAGCTGAGCATCTTATCATATATTTAAGGTCCTTTTGTATTTTTATTTCTATGAACGGTCTTTGTTGTTTTCCCATTTTCTTGATTTGTAAATGTACTGTGATATATATTAGGGAAATAACCCTTAGTCTGTGATACATGTTGCAAATATTTTTCTTAGTCTGACATTTTTCTTCGATTTTATTGTTTTTTCTACAGATAATTTTATTTTTTTTACCTATCTATTGGGTATAAAATGGGTTATTTACATGACAAAGAAGAAGGATCGGTAGCTGGAAAATATGGCCTTGGTGATAGAAACGATGCCAGAGATCACATGATAGAATTTTGTAAGACCAACAGCTTATTCTGTGCAAATACCTTTTTTCAACAACATAAATGGTGACTATACACATGAACCTCACCGGATGGAAAACACAGAAATCAAATTGACTACATCTGTGGAAAGAGACGATGGGAAAGCTCAACATCATCAGTCAGAACAAGGCCAGGGACTGACTGTGGAACAGACCATCAATTGCTCATATGCAAGTTCAAGTTGAAGCTGTAAAAAAAATAAAACAAGTCCACAAGAACCAAAATATGACCTTGAGTATATCCTACTTGAATTGGAGACTGTTCCAAGAATAGATTTGACGGACGAGTTGTGAATGACATCAAGGACATCATACATGAGGAAAGCAAAAGATCATTAAAAAGACAAGAAAGAAAGAAAAGACCAAATGGATATCAGAGGAGACTCAGAAACTTGCTCTTAAACATAGAGTAGCTAAAGCAAATGGAAGAAATGATGAAGTAAAAGAGCTAAATAGAAGATTTCAAGGGGCGGCTCAAGAAGATAAAGTATTATAATGACAGTGCGGAGACCTGGAGTTAGCAAACCAAAAGGGAAGAACATGCTCAGCATTTCTCAAGCTGAAAGAACTGAGAAAAGACTCAAGCCTCGAGTTGCATTTTTGAAGAATTCTGTCACTTTAAGGACTAAGGTGCAGCTGCCCTAAGCCATGGTGTTTTAAATTGCCTCATATGCATGTGAAAGCTGGACAATGAATAAGGAAGACTGAAGAAGAACTGATCCATTTGAATTATCGTGTTGGTGAAGAATATTGAATATACTAGGGACTGCCAGAAGAAGGAACAAATCTATCTTGGAAGAAGCACAGCCAGAATGCTCCTCAGAGGCAAAGATGGCAAGACTTATGTCTCACGTACTTTGGACGTGCCATCAGAAGGGACCAGTCCCTGGAGAAGGACATCATACTTGGTATAGTGGAGGGTCAGCGGAAAAGAAGAAGATGGCTTGACACAGCGGCTGCAACAATGGGCTCCAGCATAGCAACGATTGTGAGGATGGCGCAGGACTGGGCAGTGTTTCGTTCTGTTGTACGTGGGGTTGCTATGAGTCGGAACCGACTGCAACTAACAACATAACAACAAATGTTCTATTTATTATTCTTAGATATACTTTAATTGGTTTGCATTTGATACGTCTCTGTCAGAGTCTAAGTAATCCTTGAAAGTTATCTGACCAATTGAAAAACCAATGGTAGGTATGGTGTGATATAACCATAATTATCTCACCTATATATTTCATAAATTTCATAAAACTTTAGATCTAAAGAAATTGTATTTGTTTCTGCCTGTGATCGTGAACAGTAGACCATATCAATGGATTTTGTGGGGAAAGGGAGCTCACTGCACACAGAGGCTTACAACCTAACAGTGACAGTCTGTTCTTTATTTTCCCACAGTTCTCAGTGGTCTCTGTTCCAATGACTGCCCTCGTAAGATAACGGTAAGTAAACTTAACTCCGAGTTGTAAATATTTCTGTCACTATTCTCTGCACTATAAGTAGTTATACACAAAACAGTTGTTATAGGTCACAATCAAATTGTTGTTACTCTTTGGAAGTGATTAAAGTATCTTTTAGTGCTCAAGAAATCTCTGCTAGAAGTAAAGTACCTTCTAAAAAGTTTCTCTCCTCAGGGGGCACCTCCTTTGTGAGACCTTTTCTCATACCCTTGGAAGAACGACCAGTCCTTCCAGTGTCTCTGTTTGTCCTGCTATTACTTTGACATATAGAATAATGGATGGCACTTGTCTGTTTAGATTAGATGGCTCCCACAGTAGGCTCTAACCCCTTGTGGGCAGGAACCACATGGCCCTTCTTAGGTGATCCAGACTGAGACAGAGGGCCCTGTCCTTTGTCCTTCTGCACCAGTCAGACTCTGCATGCCACAGTCCCCAGGAAGAGGTTGTAACTGGGCCAGGGAGCAGCCTTCCGCTAAGAGCAATTTCCAGGAGGAACCCAGCTCTGATCTCTCGAAGCCAACACTTGGGGTAGCTCCAGGAATAAGTGCCTGAGTCCTGAAGGGAGGGTCTGGAGGACCTGCCACCACATCCACTGCAGCATGCATGTGACTGCCCATCAAACCCAACGCTTTCATGTCAGTATCAAAATAAAGAGGTGATTTGTCAGAGGCTAAGATTAAGTTGGTTACTCGGGTATTTTCTGCCCAGTTTTTTTAATATTCAGACCCCTTGTTCTTCTTCAGTTTCTTGTTGACCCACTCTGTGCCTCTTTCAGTACATGGTCAAGCAGAGATTTTAAAAAGTTGAGATTGAACTCACTCATTTTACCTTCCGGTTGTAGCAGAAAATTTGATAGGCTCAGCTGTACGATTAAGGCAGCCTGTCCTTCTAAGATCAACAATGCCCCCTTTCTTCTTCTCTTAAAACATAAGCCATTACTGTCATATGGAGAACAGAGTCATTTAGAAAGTCATGACGCCAGCATGCAGAGCTACTTTGACATTGATCAATCTGACATTACGGCTTCTCTGAGCTTTTCTGTAGGTGTTACTTCTGTCTCTCACTCATCCATTTATGGCTTTCTTTGAAACTCACATCCTGTTGAACTCCCCTCCACATATATCATTTCCTGCCCCATTGATATCGTAGATGACTATTTTCTGACAACTGAACAGAAACAAATGTACAGTGACTTCCCCAGTATTCCATATATCAAATACGTGCCCATTTGCAGAACTAGTACTCCTTGAGAAAGTGGTCCTTCTTCGTATTGCTTTGACATCACAGCCACTCAGTCACAGTAGAAAGTGTTACCGTATTAGGCTCGACCCAGTGTGAGACCAAGGGGGAAACTGTCCCTACCATGTGATATTCTTTACCTACCACTTGAGTTAAGTGATGAGTTGAATAGTTCTTCTGCTGACTGTATGTTCCCACCTGACTCAGGCAAACTTCTGCTGCAAGGAGAGATGAAAGAATTCTTCAGCTCAGCATCCCTTCCAGTCAGTTCTCAGACAATATCCTCTGGGAAGCGTCTCCTGGCTTCTCTTTGATGTAGGGTTGGATACACCGTCTATTATTCCTTAGCACCCTGTGCTTAATCCTAGCACTTAACGTGTCTATTCTGTAGTTGGTGAGTGATCTGTGTTAAGTCCTGTACAAGGAGGGCCTGTGTCTTACTTATTGTTCTGCCCTCCCTCCATAGTACAGTGCCTGATGTAGTCACACGGTAAATATTTGACGTATGAATAAATGAGCTGTCCCTAAAACTTGGCGTTTTTTTAAAACAGGTGTTCATTGATAAATTTACCATACCATCGTGCACCACAATAACATATTTATTGTTAAGTTTGAACACTTGCAAAATAAATTACAAGCTGTTTACAAGAAGCAGGCGTTCTGCAAAGCCCTGATATAAAAGAAGAACATTCCTTGTTGATGTTCCCACAGATACCTTGTGATGAGAAAAAAGTGTTTCAACTACACACAGGTGTTTAACACATGTAGTAAATAAGGTGCCTTTAACTTTTTTTTTTTAATCTTTTCAACCAGAAAAAAATTCTCAGATTTTTCCCTGTTCCGTTTAGGAATTTTCTCACCCAAGTATAAGCCAAGTAATTTTTTCTTTATCTTTATTTTGGTTAAGTGAATGACTTGGCACTCTTTTACCTCCCTATGCTTTAAAGGATGCCAGACTTTGCTTCAACAAATATTTACTGATTTATTTATTTGACATTTTCTTACAATGTCATTCTACCCTTAATTCTGTGTATTTGGCTTTCTCTTTTCACACCTGATAGTGATAATATCATGCATGCTTCTTGTACCACAGATGGAAAAACGACATGAACATTTTCTGCATTTGATATGTATTTTACAGTTCTTTACTTACTTTGGTCAAAGGGAAAACATCTTGCAGTTTTAATAGGAAAATAACCAAAATTAAAGAAAATGATTTATTAAATTTAATGTCTTGAAGAAATGGGTAAGAAACAATATAAAAATTCAGTATTGGACTGAATAGGGCAATGCAGGTAATACTAATGAAAATAAGGAAAAATTGCAGTGAGTGTTTATTTAAAAAAAATAATTAAAAGGATAAACAAAAAATTACCTTGGAGAAAAATGCAGTCTACATGAGAAGTTAGCTATTTTCCTAATATTTTAGAATCATAAATTTATATTGCATAATTAAACCTAATGTTGATTATACCTAATATACTATGTCTTGTATGTTCTTCGAGTTGTTTTACCATCTGAAACCAATGATGTAGACCATGTCTGGTTTCTGTCGTAGTAGTCCCAAGACCTTCAAACAAATCCGTAGGTAATCAGGTAATTGACATAGACATAAAAACCACCAAGATTTGGTCAGGCTACTGAAAAGCCTCCAAAACATAAGGAGAGGTGTAGAGCAAAGGAGAATGAAGAACACCAAAGACATAAAGAGAATATTAGCCCAAGAGACAGAAAGGGCCACATAAACCAGAGACTCCATCAGCCTGAGACCAGAAGAACTAGATGGTGCCCGGCTACCACCAATCACTGCCCTGACAGGGAACACAACAGAGAGTCCTTGACGGAGCAGGAAAAAAGTGGGGTGCAGAACTCAAATTCTAATAAAAAGACTGGACTTAATGGTCTGACAGACACTGGAGGAACCCCAGAAGACATGCCCCTGGACTCTCTGTTAACCCAGAACTAAAACCATTCCTGAAGCCAACTCTTCAGACAAAGATTAGACTGGACTATGGGACATAAAATGATACTCGTGAAGCGTGTGCTTCTTAGCTCCAGTAGATACATGAGACTAAATGGGCAGCTCCTGTCCGGAGGTGAGATGAGAAGGCAGAAAGGGACAGGAGCTGGTTGAATGGATGCTGGAAATCCAGGGTGGAAAGGAGGAGTGTGCTCACATAGGAATAGGAACTAGGGACACATAACAAATGCGTGTGTAAATTTTTGTATGAGAAACTAACTTGAGCTGTGAACTTTCACTTAAAGCACAATTTAAAAAAATAATAACGAGGTGTTCCAACCCTGATTTTATATCATTTAACAGGCACATAGAGGGCAGTTAGCTAAAAAGAATCTCTATAGTAATTAGGCAAGAAAAATAAATAAATAGAAGGTATCCAAATTGAGAAGGAAGAAGTGAAGCTGTCCCTTTTCACAGATGACATGATGCTATACATAGAAAATCCCATAAAATCCACAAGAAAGCTACTAGAGCCAATAAATGAATTCAGCAAAGTGGCAGGGTACAAGGTCAACACACAAAAATCAGTTGGGTTTTTATACATCAGCACTGAGCATTATGAAAAGGAAATAATTTCATTTACAGTGGCATCTAAAAGAATAAAATACCAAGGAATAAAATAAACCAGGTAGGTGAAAGACTTGTACACTGAAAACTATAAAATACTACTGAAAGAAATTAAAGAAGACCTAAATAAATGGAAGAACATTCTGTGTTCATGGAGTGGAAGGCTTAATACTATCTTCCAATAAAGGCTGCTTTGGGTAGTGTTTGGTAGTATTAGTCAATACTACCCAAATCAATCTATAGATTCAGCACAATTCCTACCAAAATTCCAACAGCCTTCTTTGTACAACTGGAAAAGCCAATTCTCAAATTTATATGGAACTGCCAAAAACCCCAAACAGCCAAAGGAATCTTGAAAAAAGAGAACAAAGTAGGAAGACTCAGGCTTCCCAATTTAAAAACACACTATATAGCTAGAGTTATCAAAACAGTCTACTACTGGTATAATGATAGACATATAGATCTGTGGAGTAGAATGAAGAGCCCAGAAATACACCCATATATCTATGGTTAATAGATATATGAGTGCCAGGTCCATTCAATGGTGAAAGAACAGTCTGTTCAATAAATGGTGCTTGGACAATTGGATTTCCATATCCAAAAGAATGGAGCTGGACCCATACCTTACAGCAAATATGAAAATTAACTTAAAATGGGAGAAGGACCTAAATGTAAGAACTAAAACCATAAGACTTTCAGAAGAAAACATAGGGGTAATGCTTCGGGATCTCGTTTTTGACAATGGATTCTAAGATAGGACACCAGAAGAATGATTAACAAAAGTCAAAATAGATGAATTGCACTTCATCAAAATTAAAAACTTTTGTGCATCATAGCACTTTATCAGGGTCTTAAAAGCTTGAAAGCAGCTATCTAAGGTACCGCAGTTAGTCTCCATTCATCTGGAGCAGCAAAGGAAGGAGGAGTGTCAGGAATCATGAGAGGAACTGGAATGCCTGTCTAATTGCGTGCATGAACAACTGCCTCCTTTGCAGACCAGAAGAACTGGATGGTGCCCCGCTACCATTACTGAATGTTTTGATCAAAGATTCTATAAAAGAATCCTGATCAAAAGAGGGGAAATAATGGACAGAACTTCAAATTCTCATGGAAGCCAGTCTTTCTGGGGCCATTGAGGCTGGATGATCCCCAGAAA